GGTATATCAACCAAGAAGATACTGCAGCAATCAAGTCTCTAAGTCACAAAAACATGGACGAGTTGCTCTGTTTGCTTATTATCAATAACATTAGTTCTAAATATCTGTTGCAGGTTTAAATAAGATGATGTACACAGTTTGTTCATGTTTGTTGTTAAAGTTACACCCAACTTTCAAACTTTTGTGCTTGTTTTAATAACAGGATATCCACCTTTGATACTATCTAGTGTGGTGCTGTCTTCGAAAACCAATTAATTCACTGAAGACTATAAATAATTTAACTTGAGCCAGGATATGAGTTCATGCACACAAGCCTTGATGGTTGCTTTTTTATCACAAGGATTTTCTCACAACATATATCTAAGAACCATCTGTATATAACATTAAATTGAAATGATATCTAATTTTTTTGTTGATTTGCCATGGAATTCTGGGAAAAATTTTTTAAACATTCAGAATTATAGAAAAAAGAATCACACAGAAAATGACCACAACAATAGTACTGTAACAAGCATCTGCACTTAATTCAAACGTCAGAAAAAAAATTAACGTGAATGCATTGCCCCAAGAGATTTCCATTTTCCATCAACATTATAAATAAATAAAATTTTACCAGGTATAAAACCTCAAAAAGGATTTTAATATATATTTCTTTTGTTAAACAATGTATAAATAAAGAAAAACTTCAAAACAAGCTAGTAGTTGCTTCAAGCTGGGAAAGAGCTAAAAAAGATCACAGTCAATTTTGAGATTTAAAAAGCTGGTGTCTTAATATACATTTACTCAAAATCAGAATATCCACACAATATATTAGTAAGCTCAGAATAAGGAATGTTGTCCCCTATTTCCTCACCAATATCAACCTTGATGTGAAATTTTGTTCAATCATACTTGAAATGTGCTATGAGAACAGAAGCACGAAAGAGTTAAAAGCAATGATCACTTCCAACTTACTCAACTTTTCCAAGCTGAGTAGATGAGCATTGTGATGTATATTTTTAGAGTTTTTTGCACAGTGGTGACAATGTCATGGTCATGATTGGTGGGTATAATGTTACAGAAAATCTCGATCCCATGCCAGTTTGGTTTATGTACCTTTTTTGCATCAAAATCCAGCACTGTCCTTTGAAGTTTTGTGTCAGAAACCAAGAATCAGGGGCAAAGTGTTATTCCGTCTCATTTACTTCACCCTTCATCCTCTAGTTTAGGAAACCCAGCCACAGGCAGCACTCCAATCTTCAAATAATGTGGGCCACAGTACTCCTTCTCCTCAAACTGGTTAGTCTCAAAGTCATACTTGAACAAATACCTTTCGAAAGAGGTCCCCCCAATAATGTACAATTTATGACGAAACACAGTCACTGACCGCTGGAAATGTCCAAATTCTTCGGGAGTGGGCGTTAACTCTGTCCATTGGTCTGTCATAATATCATAAACTTCATTAATGAAGCAGTCGCGCATGTTCCAGCCATCCTCGCTACTGTACCCTCCGAATACATACAGTTTGTTGTTATACAGAGACATACTGTGGCCCTGACGAGTGTGTAACATTGGGGCTTTACTCTCCCAGCTTATATTGGTTGGATAAAACACAGACATGTGACTGACTGGCACGGAGTCCAGGGGATTGTCAGAGATGCCGCCGCTAACAAAAATGCAACCATCCTTCACAGCAGCTGCAATATCAAAACAAGGAACAGGTAGCTTTGGCAGGCTGATCCATTGGTTCTCTTCAGGGTCGTACCTTTGGGAATGTAAAAAAAAGTTTCTATAGATGTACTGCATAAATGTGTAAACAGAGAACTATCAGTAAACCATCGCAGTGTACATACATATTTAGCATGTATGGTTTACAATTAAAACACTTATAAAAACACACTTGTGCATGTACTGTATATCCACATATCCACCAAAACACACACATGCGCAACAACAAGCACACATACTAGTACAGGTACATGTATACTAATGCACAAACACACACAACCACACTTATAAACACATAACATATGCACATGCACACCAACACACAGCATATACACATGCTACCACACAACAGCCACATGCAGGCACAAACAGCCAAATGTACATTAAAACATCTGAACACATACACAGCTTGACACTAATATTCATGTGTGAACCGATAATAAATATAAGGGCACTTCACAGAAACACACACCTTTCCACAGTGTCTAGTAACAACTCCTGGTCCTGTTCTGTGTGGTCCACACCACCTATAGCATACAAATACCGGCCATCATTGACCAGCGCAAAGTTCACACGGTTATCTTGCATTGGAGCGCACTCAATCCACACCTGCCACCTAGGGTCCAGGCGATACATCACATTGGTGCTGCAGTAGCTTCGACCATAACCACCAGCGGCAAATGCAAAGTCTCCCATAAATGTCACACTGGCATATTCCAGAACCAAACTGAGGCTGCTAGTGGATAATGGCTGCTCACACATACCAGGTATACCTAAAGTAATGGAGAGAAGATTTTACTTTGATAAAAAAATGGTTTCCATAAGGGTCCATGAGCTCTTACTGAAAATAGGCCTAGGCAGTACATTCACAAACTCATGGCCAGCAAGAGATGTATAAGAGGTTCAAATCTGGTGGTCCCTTGCTTATTTGTTCCCTTGTTATGAACTCACTGACATACTGTAACCCTACTGCTTCTAATTAGTTTAATTAGTAGTAAATTCAATAAAATTTCTCATATTTGTTTGCCTGAGCATAGAATAATGTACGTAAAATAAACAAGTGACAAAACATCAGTGCACAAAACATCAGTGAAAACTTCGACAAATTTCTAGGTGCATCTTCTAATGAAAAGAGCATATCAATTTTACTAGAAGATAAATAATTACTACTAGTATTATATATAATATCTAAGGGTGTTTTTTGAAGATTTTTGTCTTTACATGAAGGAGATACCTGGTACTTTGAACTGTATACTCTCTGCATCATCAACAGCTGAGATCATGGAGACCAGTGGCTGCGCCCCGCGGACGCGGGTCCGTTCTGATGCCACGAGACACTGACTGTATGGGTTGGCCTGGTATTCCTTTGCCTCTGTAACCAAGGCCTCAATCCCAGGGTATGCAAGCAAATCTTCACGGATTTCCTCAAGTTGCTGGGAATTCAAACAAGGAAATCGAATCAAGCCTACAATTTCCTCCAGGTGTTTCAACCGATCCGAGTTATGGTCTAACCAATCCAAGACCGTCTTGAGGATATACCCCTCAGGCGCGGCAATGAAGTGATCACTGGCTAGTATTTTGTAAAGCAGTTCATACTGGATCAATTTGAAATTTGGTTCTTCAGATAAAGGAATGAAACTCTGTCCTATATACTCGAATATATCAGGGTTCAGGTCGTCCAGAGCATACCTGTCCATCAAGTCCAACACTAAACCATAGTTTTCTATACTGAGATGATAGATCAGGTAGTAGCAGCACAGTTCTGACAACCATCCAACCTGAAATATTGGAATATATTAAATTTACTATATGTATATAGTTCACATATGCAGGCTTATCTCAGCTTTTTAGTCTCATACATGTCCATCAAGGTGAACAATTTTGTCTCTCTAGTTCCATTACTGGTGTTGCTTAAAAACAAATTTAACATTAATTTGTCTACAGTGTTTTAAGATGACAGCAAATAATGACAGTACACTTCTTACTTTTTCAGGCAACTATGGAAGTACTAAGTAATAGGAGTAGTACTAGTATGTTTAAATAGCCATTTAGGATAAATGTTCAATCTAATGTTTTCTTAAACATACATAAAGTTTATGAGGAGATTCTTATTTCTTAAATAATCTATTTAACCTGAAAGAACTGAGAAGCTTCAATGACATCCTGAATCTTTTCAGCGTCTAGAGACACATGGCCATGGTAAAAGTATTCCAGCATGGCTGCAAAGCCTATAGGACTGATCTCGAACAGTTCAATGTCTTTCATTTGCTTCTCCTGCATGTCATGACTGAACATGGCAGAAAAATAATCACTGGCTTCAGATAATATGTCACGATGTGCACTGAAGGTTTTATCTCCAACTGTTAGTTTAACATCACAGTTGTAGTCATACATTCTTGCAGACACTTTCTTGTAGTTCTTGTTAACGAATCTGTGCTTGCCTTCTGAGAGTTTCAAAACCTGAAGACTGTCAGTGAAAGAGCTGGGGTCCATCGAGGTATCATGCATTTTTTTTGTTAAATTCTGCTACAAAGCCCTGCAATACAAAACAATATACACTGCAGAATATACACATGAACATTAACAGTGAATTTTATCATAACTGGATGTCCACAAATCCATGTACAATATCAGTCAGGAGAGAGAGAGAGAGAGATTTCTGACTTGAGCACACCTTATTTATGCATATAATAGTCGAATGCTTTTAATAGATTCTCAACAAGGGTGACTGCTACAGCACGGGGAGTGTACTTATGATAATGTTAAAAAGGTGTGTTTTACACGTACAGGTACACGCACGCTCGGCTGTCACCTTGATTGGATAGTAAACGATTGTCGTAAAATCGCTAAATGATATTAAAACCGGGTGCATAAACTTGAAAACCACCTACAACAACCTTGGACTGCCACATTAATCCAATACAATGCAAACATAAACTATAACAAGTGGTTAAAGCCTTCAAACCGAATGTCGTAAAGTCCCCATATACCTCCATAGAGACAATAAAATAGAATGAGCTTCTGAAACAAACCTGATCCAGTTCCAACAGAATAATCGAAATAAAATACTGCCGGGCATCGGAGCGGCCTAAAACTTGGCACGCTTACCGCTAATACTGCAGGCTACATCATCCCGTCGCTCGTTTGTAAATTCCGTGCATGGCATACGCACAATCAAACCGTAAAAAACAAATTCTCGGGGTGTCGTTGGCTAGGTCCACTCAACAATCCAATTCAGGAAATGACGTAACCGCAGAGGTCGCATTGTCCAATGGCATGGCTTCTTTTTCGTAATGGTAGGTTAGAGTGGACCTGGCCAACGACACCCCGAGAATTTGTTTTTTACGGTTTGATTGTGCGTATGCCATGCACGGAATTTACAAACGAGCGACGGGATGATGTAGCCTGCAGTATTAGCGGTAAGCGTGCCAAGTTTTAGGCCGCTCCGATGCCCGGCAGTATTTTATTTCGATTATTCTGTTGGAACTGGATCAGGTTTGTTTCAGAAGCTCATTCTATTTTATTGTCTCTATGGAGGTATATGGGGACTTTACGACATTCGGTTTGAAGGCTTTAACCACTTGTTATAGTTTAT